TAGCTGGGAGATCCACAGCCCAGCTCAGGCCCAGCCCCTGCACTCACCCTCAGCTGGTCCTTCCCTGGGATCACGGACTCCCTTCCCTGGGCACGTGAAAGGCTCAGCCTTTGGATGGCTTGCCAGCCCCAGCCCACCGGACAAGCCCCCAGTAAGCTCCAGAAGGAGCAGCCTCTCTCCAAGGAGTTGCCGAGGCCAAAAGGACGAGCGAGTGAGGGGGAGGAACAGCTATCTGGCCTTAGGCAATGGCCCGAAGAGACCTCCTTGGAATGTGAAGGAAGGGGAGGCAGGTAAGCCAGGCCTCACCTCCTTTTCCGAGGAAACCCTGCTTCCTCCAATCCCGAGAATCTACTTTCTAGTGAAAGGCTGCCGTTTGGTGAGAACCCAAGGATTCACCCTCCTCAAGCTGGGCTATCCCACCTTTCCTGTCCCCTCGGTAGCCACCCCCAAGCCTCCTGCAGCTCTGCTGGGGGCAAGAACTGGGGTGCAGCCCGCGGAGCTGCGTGTACTCTCTGGCTTCCCTGGCCCTGTTCCTCGGGGCGGGCCACTGCGGGGGAGAGACAGCCAGCCACCTTTGAGGTCTGTGCTCTCCCCCGAAATGCCAGCAGATGCTGGGCTCTCACGGCGACCCGTGAGGGCCCCGCCAGCTCCCCGTGCACCACCTGTGGCTCCTCTCCGCCTCCGCAGTCGCCACCCCTCCCTGCCCCCCAGGTACTCCATTCAGCAGAGCTGAGGATTTGGGAAACTTCTGCCCCGACAGAGGCCCCATTCTTCCTGCTGCTGGCTCGCATTGTCCCTCATGACTCCACACATTCTTGGGCCTCTAATGAGAAGCCCAGAGAGCCACCGGCCCTTCCTGCCCCACTCGGCTCTTGTCAGCACAGCCTGGGCCTAGCCGCCTGCCTGTGGCAGAAGTTGGGGCAGGGAGTCAGGGGACAGTCGAGAGGAAGTCAAAGGAGCTGGGAGACAAAACAGAGGAGGGGAGATGGAACCTCGGGAGACGCGGAGAAACTGTGAAGGAAGAGAAGAGTGAGGTAGATGGGAATGGGAGAGAAATCAGACAGGAGAAAAGGGAAGGGGAGGAAGGAACTCCATTTCATTAAGTGGATACTATACATCATGAGTACACTAGGCCCTTCGGTAGCACAAATACAGTTGTTACTATGATGAGTATTGTCATCTGGTAGATGAGAAAACTGAGGCTCACAGAGGCTGGGTGGGCATTTTTGCTCTTAGAGCAGGGGGCAGGGGGCAGGGGACGCTTGAGAGAGAAAGGAGAGAGCCTGAAAAGAATGCTGACAATGAGGAAAGAGGGCTGCGGAAGAAAACAAGCAGAACAGGAGGAGGCAGAGTGGGAGGCGGGAGAGGGCTAGCCGCGGACTTGAGGTTTCCCCGACCTCCTGCCGTTCCGTTTGGGGTCCAGCGGTCTGACCACAGGGCACGCACTCCAAGGGCCCTGCAGTGTTGTCTCCTCTCCAGTAACCAGTCCCATCTTGCCAGCACCTGCTGGAGAACCCAGGTCCAGCCTGCATACTAATGCCCACAGCAAACCGCTTGTCAGGGAGCCCCCAGTCCCACCATTGTCTCCAAGGGCACAGTCACCGCGAATCCTCAGCCTACATGTAGGCACTGGGGTTGGAGGTGGTTTCAGCTGAAAATAGGCTAGATTAGAGAGCGCTCCTTTGCAAGGAGAGCAGTGAGAAGGACTGGTGAGCCAGCCATTCACCCTCCATAGGAGAGAAAGCCATGGAAGGGAGGGGCCCGGAGCACAGACCAACCTCAGCCTGAGAACGGACTGCAAAACTAGAAGCACTCCTGAAGAAGCAGTGTGCTCCCAGGCACCAGAGTCAGACATAGGGTGCATAACTACTTCTCGGACCTACTGCCAGGCACATAGTAGTTGCTCAATAAATCGTATGCTGGTATAGAAGGAATCTTGCATGGAGAAGTTAGAGCAAATCTAAGGTCCCATCACCTCCAAGATTTCACAAGTCTACATGGTAGCTGACTTCTCTCAAAGCTTTTCATAGACTTACGTACCCTTCGAGGGGCTTGGAGCCCAGCAGCCCTGCCTCTCTGATCATGGTGGCAGGAAACAGGGCATTAGGAAGGTCGTGAGTTAAGAAGGGGAGGTGTTCTCTCTCACCACCCCATACACCCTAACATAGCACATTATTCTAAGGATGTTGGCTGAATGATATAAATATGCATTTGTTGAATGAACGAATGAATAAGTGAATGGCTGGTGAAATTTGGAAATAAGAGCTAAAGGCCTAGGTTCTCCCATATTTCAGGCTTGGAGTGTGCCCGGAGCTCCCTCACGTCTGTCCTCTCAGAGGTGGGGGGTAGGAAACACTCCCTGGCATTAGAGTCCCCCATCATGGCAGGAGGGGGGCACTGTGGAAACTTCAGAGGAGTGCCAGGAATTTGGTTCTGCTGCCTCTGCCCCAGACAAGCCCCCAGATTTGGAGCTGTCATTGGGATATGTCTGTGGGTACAGTCCCTGACCTAGAACAGGCCCAGCACTGACCCAGGAGACTAGTTCCAGACGGACCTGGCAATCTCTTCTGCATTGTCCTCTAGACCTGGACCAGACCAGTGGTGCACTTGCTACCAAAAACAGGACGCCTGGCCCATTTCTGGACCCCTAGGTAGCCTTCGCTATGGTGCAAACCTCCACTGCCTCCCAGCCCTATTTCTACTCCAAAGGACGGTCAGCTCAGGGTCCTTCTCAGTCACGGGCTTCAGAGGTCCCCCCCCGGGGGGGAAGGATGCTCTCCAGTAAGAAAGGAAGCACAGAGAGTTCGAGTGTGAATTTTCTTTTTCCCAAGGGCTTTGTCTAGTTGTCTCAAGAGCCTCAGTTCTGAGCCTTTGCAGGCAGAGAGAGGTCCCAGCCCGGCTTCCCATCCCTGGGCTCTTAGGAACAGGAAGAGAAGGGAGACCTGGGGCAGCCCCAGACAGTCTAGGCAGAGAGGCCAGGGCACAGGGAGAGCAAAGGCAGTAAGTTGGGGGTTCTTCACAGCCCTGACACTTTCAGCCCCTGCACCTGGTTTCTCCTGAGCTCCCAGGGCTGGGCTATGGGAGGGAAGAGAACACAGGGAAGCGCTCATGTCACCAGAATCCAGCCTCCCCAAACACAGGACCTGGCCAGTTCTGCCTCTCAGAGCAGCCAAGCTGTTAAAGGAAAATACAATAACGGGTCAATGGCGAACTCACATGCATTTCGACCTGAGCAGTTCGTGGATATCGAGGTGTTCCGACGATCCGCCCAGGCCCTACTTCTGCCCCCACCCCTCTCTTTCCCTCCCGTGCCTCCCTCAGCTCACATTGGATGATGGTGGCCAAGCCCAAAGAACGGCACAGCGGGCTCTCCCAAGCCCCTTGGAATATGTCTCAGCAGAGGAGGCAGGTGAAGATGTGGGCATTGGGGGCGGGGAGGGGGTCTGCAGCGGCACCGCTCATTTAGCAGACGTGCACTGAGCTAGGCACCAGGAGACAGCGCTCAGGAAGGCACAGCCACCGAGCTGGCGGCCCGATGGGAGGACAGACCCAGAGGCATGACTGCATTCGGAGCGGTCCCATTACCGGGAGCCCAGGTCTCCCCACACCCAAGGCCTTCACACTGCCTTTTTTGGGGGGGAGGTGTTAAGCTGAACTTGGCCCTCCCTGTTTTGAGGGTCCCTCCTTCCACTTCACGCCTTTACACAAGTGGCCTCACCCGGATATTTTCTGTAGTGTGGGTGTGTGTGTAAGAGAGATCCTCCTCTTTCTACTGACTGATGGGGCGATGGGTAGCTGGAATTGAGTGGCAGACATGCACACCGTTCCCAGCTCTGAGCCTCAGCTGTGTCCCCTGATAGGATGTATACAGGGCTTTCAGGTCACCAAAACTGCCCCCCAAGGGAACTTCTTAGAGGACAGTCAATTCAGAGCTCTGTGATCCTGGGGCTCCCATGCCGGCCCCAAGGGAGGCACATTTCCCTCCAAAGTTAGCCTTTCTCAAGGCTTAAGTTGGGCTAAGTTGTTCACTGGTGGATGAAGGCACATTGAAAAATCACCAGAAAGAAGTAAAATCAAACCGGAGGGAGAATTTGTTCATGAGGGTTGAGAGGGGGACAGCAGGATTCTCTTGTCCCCAAAGTGAGGCTGTGGAATGTAGCCAGGAGAGGGGCTCTCCCTGGGACCCCCAGGCGCCCCCTCCTGACCAGCTGGGTAGAGGCAGAAGCTGATGGCCAGCCCTGTTCTCTAGGGTCACTCGGTCAAGGACCCTTTCTCAGGAAAAGGGAGCTGCCTGCCAGCCCCACCCTGGCCAGGGTCTGCTCCCTGGCTGGCCTCCAGCTCCAGCCCCTCGGAGGTGTGCACGGGCCCTAGGTTTGAGGACTGAGGGGGAGGCCTGCGCAGGGCCCGGAGTTGGTGGTGCTGCCCAGAGAACCGGTTTCCCCCAGCCTCCCATGCTGGGGTCCCCTGAGGACCTCTGCCCCAGGGGTGGACACCTCCGCTTTTGCCTTCTTAGTGCCAAACACATGCACAGGTGTCACAAAGTCCTCATCTTTACCTCCTGTACAGCCCCTTCCCCCATCCCACCCACCGACAGGGGGTGAAGGGAAGGGCGGAGGCGCCCAAAGCTAGTCTCTCCTGCCGGCAGTGGGAGACCGGGCGACCTCCTGAGTCAGGGCCCTCGCTCCTTCTCACACTTCCCCCTGAATCCCACCAGCTGCAAAAACCTTTCAAAGGAACAAAGGCAATGGGGCCGGGTAGGGGGCTCCCTTTGGCCGCCGACCTGGGGCGACGGTTGACGCAGCCTGCGGCGGTCCGCGCCGGCTTTCAGGTGAGTGCCTAAACCGCATCCTGGAGTCCGCCCTCTCCTCAGGAACCCCTCAGCGCCCAGCCAGAACCCCCGCGAAGAGGCGAGCCCTCCACAGCCGCTCCCAGCCCTCAACCTGGCCCGGGGGCCCTTACTCGCAGCACTTTCTGCCTATTTGTTTTCGCTCAGTACTCACAGTTCAGATGCAAGCCGGCTCCTCTCTCGCACTCACTTCCTTTGTCTCTTTCTCTCTCCCTCTCCCCCTCTCCAAGCTCCCTCTCTCTCTTCCCTCCTTGTCTGAGTCTCTGCAGTAGCTTCCAGTGGAGAAAAATAATTATTCTTCTCAATGGGTTTGCACGGGGCGCACGCACACACGCGCGCGCACACACACACCCCGCCGTGGTACCCAATCAATGCACAAATCTTCGGGGTCCCTTTAACCTCTGCGGATGACTCCCGGAGTTAATTACGAAGCCTATTTCGGCGCAGCATAAATATGCATTAAGGTATGAAATGACAACCGTTGCGCTGAACTTCAGGGATTTGGCATTTAGACAGACTTCGAGTGGCCGCCCCCCCCATTCCCTCTATAGCCCCACAAGCCACCTCCACGGCATCGCAGTGACCATCGGGAGCTCTTACAGGGGTGTCGGGGACCGCGGGTGGCCTCCGTGCAGTGCTTTGTACCCCGAGACCCCCCTCGCGCGCCCCCTGCGGTCCGGGTAGACCCTCAGCAGGCGCTTCCGCTTCCCACACGCCGCAAGCCCAGCCCTGGCCACCGCGCCCCCACCCCAGCCGCCCCCCAACGCACGGTGCTTGTCTGGGAACAAACTCCTAGCTCAGTGCCTGGAGAAGCTGGAGAGAACGGGACGGTGATCAGCCCGCGTGCCAGAGTCCGGGGCAGAGCAAGACCCGGAACGCTACTCCCTGCGGGTAAAGGGTCCTGGAGGTCCCGCTGCCTCCCACTGGTCCCGACCCGCACAACATGCACGCCTTTGCACACACGCGCGCGCACATGCACGCGTTTGCACACACACGCGTACATATGTGCACACAGACACTCCCGCGCGCGCTCGCGCCCGCACACACTCAGGGTTGTAACAAAGGAAGAGGGGCCAGCGCTGCCTTACTTTTCTTTCTCTTCTCCTCTCTTTTGCAGCCCCCCAGCCCCGCGTCGGCGTGCCCGGCCCATACCCCCCAGCCCTCCGCGCCCCGAGACGGCGGCGGGCGGCCAGCATTCCGGAGCAGCGCGTCCGAGCGGCAACTTCGCGCCCAGGCGCCCGCTCCTCGCAGCCCGGCGGGCGGGAGACAAAAGCTGCGGCGCCGCCGGAGGCCGCGCGACTAAGGTGTGCACGCTAATTGTCAGGAAATGTGTGTGTGCGCGCCGGGAGCTGGGGGGCGGGGAGGGGGCGGGAGGGGGAGAGGAGAAGAGGAGACCCACCCCCCAGCCCGCCACTCGCCCGCGCCAGGCACCCGAGCCCGGATTAGAGAATAAATTATCTGCTCTCTTCTCATTGGGCTGTGGCTGTGGCCGCCGTCGGCGGCGCCGGGCTGGGAGCCCGCCCGGCTCTTTGCATTCACCGCACAGCTCCGGCTCGCCTCGCTTCGCGGGGGCCAAGAGCCCCGGGCCTTGGCTCCAGACGCCAGAGGACACCAGCCGGCTGGCCGCGCCGCCCCTCCCCCACAGCCCGGCTCGGCCTGACCCTTCGCCCCTCCCAATTCTAGCTGGTGTCCTGGGGACGAAGAGATGGGAAAAAGAAGCCCGGAGGATGTAGAGATCGTACTCCCTCTCCCCACCTCTCGTTTCGGTCCCTTTGCAAGAAGGAGAAAGGCGAGGGCAACTGGGGTCAGTCACCCAGCCCACCTAGCCCACCACAATGAGAGAGGGTTTTGAGAGCCCCTGGACAGGATCCCTTTAATGACAAATTCCCCTACAAACGCCCCTGCCTTGGGGCCATCTTCTGCCCTCCACATTGTAGCAATGACAAAGAGAAAATGGCACTAAGGTTCTTTGCTTTCTCCAGCCCCATCAGCTTCAGCCCAATCTTGTTCCCCATTTCCTGGGCCTTTCTATCGCCCACCTGCAAGACAGCTCATTAACTGCCTGCAAAGAAAGTACTTTCTGGTTCAAAGCAGCTCCGTGCCAAGAATTCATTCATTCATTCATTCATTCATTCAGCAAGTAAGTAATATGCCGGACCATAGGACATGGGCTGGGCACCAGGAATACAAAGGGACACGATTCAGATGAGGAGTCATGAAAAAATAAATTAAAATAAAATTACAACTGTGTGAGAGGTGCTACATCAAGGTACAGACAAATTTTCAGCTCATAGATAGGGGGGGCTACAGCCATTCATTCAACAAATGATTTAGTGCGTCTTAAGTGCCAGATACGTAGATGAACCGGCGGGCCTCGTGCCTACCCCATGGAGTGGACAGTCTGATGGACCAGAGGAGCACTAACTGGTGTGGTATGAGCTTATCAGTAGACACAGGGGGAGAAGTAATGGTGAAGAGCAGGGGTTCTTAATCCACTCTGAGGAGCCCAGAAAGCTTCTTTAAGGAAGTGAGATCTAAGTGAAGGCCTAAAGGGGAATCAGAGATAGCTGGGTTGGGGAAGGGAAGGGAAGAGTTCTGAGCAGAAGAAACTTGTAGAAAGGACCTTGAGATGCTTGGTAACTGACTTTAGAAGGCAGGTAAACATCCACCTTGCAGAGAGGAAGGTGGGGCTGGGAAGGCCCCTGCCCTTGCTACCGGAACTAAGAGAATTGCCCAAAATAATATTGACACATATAATCCAAGGCAGGCTCTTCCAGGTCCTACAGTTTAATGTTTTAGAAGAGGCTCACTTTTGTGTTATCTCTCAGTCTAATCTGACCTCATGCCCTACCCCATTTTACATCTAGTCACTGCCTGTCGCAATTGGACCAACTCTGTGCCGCTAAAGATAACCCTAAAATAAAGAAAACAGATGATGAGCCCTCTGAGATAAGACCAAACAGTTCAACTTCCTTCTCCATCTTATCACTTCCCAGCAGCTTGCATCACTCTGTTTACTTCATCATCAATCACACTTGGCCCTCACACAGGGAAGCTGTCCCTGGGACCAGCCTGGACTCCTTTCCACATGCTGGAACTGTACACTTTCCAAACAGCTCCACATTTATTGTCCCGCCGTTCACACAACAGCCCTGTGAGTTAACTTCACCTCCATTGGACAGGTGAAGAAACTGAAAGTCAGAGAGGAGTGGCCTACTTATTGCCACGTACAAATGCCTCGGCCGAGCAGAGTTTGTGGCTCCCTGCCTTCTCTCCACTAGACTTCAGGTATGTGCTGGACTTCCCAGCTCATCCGTGAGCCCCATGAGGGTCAGGACGAAGTGATCCCCAGCCTCTAGGAGAGCCTTCAGCACCTAGGACAGGGCCCGGCACACCCAGGCTCTCAAGCCAACCCTGCTGAGTGAGTGGCTGTGGTGGAAGCGAAGGAAATGAATGATTCAAAGGCAGGAACTGCATAGGCTTTGGATTTACACCTCAGCTGAAATTGCCACTGTTACTAACATACTCTGTGCACTTTATTCAGACTTTCTGAGACAGAGTTCCCTCATCTTCCAAGTGGGATTCACAACACTGACCTAAGACCATTGTGGAGATTAAGTGAATGATGAGCGTGGAATATCTATGAAAACCTACACAAGACATTGGTAACAGCACTTACTGCTGAAAAGGGGATATGAATGGAGGGAGCACTGGAGTAAAAGGAGAAACTCACTTTTCATGGTTTATACCCTCTAGTAGTTGTGACATATGATATCCATACATTACCTGTCCAAAATGAATAATGAAATATTTTATTAAGATAATACATGAAGCAGCATAACAACAACCAGCAAATGGGGACTCCATACACATTTGTTGAACTAACTTGAGTTTTGCAGTTTGAAACATTGGGATGTGTTATTAAAGGGAATCATAGAGTCTCCTTTAGACGTAACTCTGGCCTGAAAGTTTGCAACTGCTCTGTCTACAGGCAAAGGTGAAGATGTCCAAGCAGGTGAGATATTTTCCAACCCAGAAATTCCACAGTTCAAACCTCTGTCTCAGAGGGAAATGGTAGCCCAGCAGGCTTATTGTTCTATTGAGAGACCAAACTCCTGGAAGTAACATGAGATGGATGGGGATGGAGCAGAGGTGATGGGGAGGAAAGGCCAGGGGCCTGGGCAGCCCCCCAGCAGGCTCCATTCTGTCCAGAGGAGACAGGGCCAAAAGGACTCCTAGACCTGCTTCCTTAGTGTCACTCTTGTAAGGCTTAGCGAGCAAGCTACCCGCCCGGGCACTCCGTGGCCCCTGAGGAAAGCTGAGAGCAGCAGGTGCAGAGCCTAAGGAGGGGAGTGGGCTTTCTCTTGTTACCCTCCAGGTATTGAGGTCCCAGAAAGGACAGGGCAGCCATTCATCAGCCAGCACAAAGAGATACTCTCTCAGCCACAAAGAGACCAGGCCAGGTCATCTCAGACACTGGGGCATAACATCAGTGGGAAATTTAGAGCCTCTTAAAAAAAAAGCTTTGGACTCTCACATCCAGTTGCATTGGGGGAGGGATGGAGACAGGAAGGAAGCACTTTTCTGGGCGATTCCGGGTACGAAAAGAGAGATAGTGGTCCCAGCCTTAATGAACCAAAGGGTAGGGCAAAAACAATCAGAAACACTAAAAAACTAGGAATCAAAGGAAATAGAAATCATTTATTCTAGAGGAGCAACAGCTAAGGGAGAAAAAGAAGGAAAGTCAAAGACCAGGGCTGGAATGGCCACTTTTCAGTCTCAGGGAAGAACGTGGCTGCTCCTTTTCCGCTCCGAGTTTCTGGGGAAGGGCCTGGCGAGGGTGCGGGGTTTTCGTCTGGGTCAGAGGCTGCGGCAGCTCCAGCCTTGGACGTGTCACCTTTCTGACTCCCGACTTTGCCTGTGGCCTGCCTTCTTCCAATTAAGACAGGACACAAGCACGGTCCAGTCTCTGGTTAGTCTTGAACACAGAAATGACCTCCATCAGAAGGGGGAAAGTACAATCTATTTCCATATATGTTTTAAGATTTTATTTATTTTCAGAGAAAGAGGAAGGGAGGGCGAAAGAAAGGGAGAGAAGCATCGATGAGTGAGAGAAACATCAGTTGGTTGCCTCTCGAACACCCTCAACTAGGGACAGGACCTGGCCTGCAACCCAGGCATTTGCCCTGACTGGCCATTGGACCA